ACCAGCAGCAGCGTTATGTCTTGGCTGGTTGCCGCCTCAAGTGGCATGGCGTACCAAGTCGCAAGAGGCCGGTAATTAGTAACGAATCCGGCATTCCGATTGGTCCATCACTTTCTCGTTGCTTGTTCTATTTCCCTTGGTTACCTGACGTCAGCGCTTACGCTCGTGGTCGTTCAGGGGTTTCCTTTTACTTTCGAAAGTTGGGCGAATAAAAAAAGTGTTTCTTTTGTTGTAAATTTGCACAGAAACAGCGAGGAATATCAGAAACATCTCAAATATGTAAGTCTAAGCAGGCAGAATGTATGAGCATGGCTTTATTGTAGTATTAACATACACGTTTTCGCAGAACGGAACTTGGAATGATTTCAAATTACGTCACTCAGTCACGTTCTTTCCGGCCGGAAAACCGGACCAAACGGAACAATATGGCGATTACTAGTTACCTGCGTGCTACTGGCCATTCGCAAAGGACGCCGGGAACCAGCGAACGTTATGTCCTGGGATAACGTTATTATCATAAATGGTACATTTGAACATGGACATTTGAAATGTGTGTTATGTATTGCGATAAATAAAACCTTCCTTTCTTGCAACCTTCTTTGTAGTATTACGTTAATCGCGAGAAGATGCGGTTGATTGGACGGGAGAAGGATATACTAAAGATGAACAAGGATGCTCTGCGCATGGCACGTGAAGTTGCTGATGAAACAGGGACACTAATGGCGGGAAATATATGTAATACCAATTTATATACAGCGGAAAATACTAAGGAGAAAAACTCGATCATTAAGGACATGTTCAAGGTACTAATGTTTGCATTTTATTTATTACATAAATAGAAATACACTACTCGCAGATGACGAAAATCAGCTCGGCGACGAACAAAAGATAATGTTTCAATTGTTAGATCAACACTTTGTGTAATTATCTTCGTATTATTGTAAGAACTCTAAAGTTAAAGCGGGAGGGTCGTCATCTGCGCACGCGCAGTAATTAAGTCCCAAGCAATGATAAGAACACACGCTGAATACGCAAAGGCGCATGGGTAGACGCTTGTTTGTAAACAATGACACGCTATGGCCATCTGACGCATGCGCAGGTGACGACTCCCCCGCTTTAATCTTTGTCACCATTCACGAATTCAAGCCACATAATATATTCCTTATTTGTTTACATTTTAACAAAGATTTGTAAAAAAAAAAAACACACACACAAGTAACAAATATTGTACCTAGGGCACTTTGAATATTTGAACAGTTATATTTGCATAATGCAAGGTAATCACTCAGACGTATGCAAACGTTTTTAGTACAGAAATGTGCACATTGCTAACCGTATATTAAAGCGGGGGAATCGTCACCTACGCATGCGTCAGGTGGCCATAGCGTGTCATTGTTTACAAACAAGCGTCTACCCATGCGCCTTTGCGTTCTTAGCGTGTGTTGTTATCATCGCTTGGGACTCAATACCCGCGCGAGTCTCGTGCTACAGTAACCGTGGTCGTCTTAATATTGAGATATGATTTATTAATGCGCAAATACAAATTATGAAATTTAACACGACAATATTTCTCATTTCGAATATATATTTAGGAGCAAATAGAATGGGCAGTCGATGGTGGTGCCGATTATATGGTTGCAGAAACATTTGTACACTTTGGGGAAGCAGTGATTGCACTTGAAGCAATGAACGAATGTGCGAAAGGTGTGTATATAATCAATATGGATAGGTTGCTTTAAGGTAGAAGCCTACTCATAAACTAAAAAAACAAACAGAATTTATTCATTTTGCAATAATCTGTACTTCAAGGCAATATAAGTATATTGACTTGAAAAAAGTTGGGGTCACCAGCCTTATTTACGAGAAATTGATAGTCATATTTTAGTGGATAGTCACCATTTTGACAGTATTATATCACTTCTACCATAGGTTTCTATGGCAGAGATATTACGCAATATGATGGAGTACTTTTTGTTGTTGTAAATTATTTAAAAAATCTGGGTTTTAAAAAGTGTCAAAAAATGCATTTTTTCTTTAACTTTGTGTTCTATAGAATTGTTCTAAAATGGCGATTTTCAAGAAATATTAGGACACGTTTCTTAAAAAACTTAACTGTGACACACACAATAATGCTATTTCATTGTACCATGCATATAAGATATTAGCTTTATGATTGTACATAATAAACTAATGAACATTGTCATGCGATTTATGACCAATTTTGTCAAAAATTATGTTTATTAAAATTAAGGTTCTACCTTAATGTTGTTCAGCAAACATTCGCAAATCGTGGACAGAGAACTTAGTCTACTTATGAATCAGTTACAGATATTACAATAAGCATTCCACAATACTCAAATTACGTCATTTTTGTAATTATTTCGATTATTTTTCGATGGCATATACATGTATGCCTGTGAGAAAACAAGTGCTTTGATTGATTTTAGACAGCATTGACGCAGGCGGTTTTCGTCTGTATTTCAGATTTACCAAAGGTTATTGCGTTTTCTCCGGTTGCTACTGTGAAAGACGAGAGCGGACGTTATTGTACAACCGATAACGTTCTCTACGAAGAAGCATGTACAAAGTTACGGGAGGCTGGTGCCGATGTGGTTGGTCTTAATTGTGGACGAGGACCAGCGACCATGATACCTATATTAGAGCAAATAAGAGAAACATATCAGGTAAAATACCTTTTTTTTCTCAGATTGAAAGTATGGTATATGACCCTCTAGATACGCAGCGCTTTCGTCACGTCAAAATGGCGTCCGCGTTCTTTACGCTTATTCACGTCACAGAAGCACTCCGCACATGAGGGCGAGACTTCTAGAAATTGTACGCAGTCTGTCGCGCCGCGGGTATATTCATATGTTGACCATGACCGATATAGAGTGAAAACATTGAATTCCCGACTACAGACTGACGTCACACTTTTGAGCTTCGACGGAGGCCTGCTTGAGGAAAGCGCGTTAAAACCTGTGGTTATGTTTTTAAGATTGTATAGTCGTGTTCGTGATCTGAAATAAACGCAATTTCAGTAAAAGTTTCATTCATTTAATTAAAGCGGTAGGGTCGTCACCTGCGCACGCGCGGGAATTGAGTCCCAAACGACGATAACAACACACGCTAAAAACGCAAAGGCTCATGGGTAGACGCTTGTTTGTAAACAATGACACGCTATATCCATCTGACGCATGCGCAGATGACGACACCCCGCTTTAATGGTTCGTTGTATGGCGCGCATATGCCCCGCGCTCTCGAGGAACAGCTCATATTCAATCTAACACGAATTTATTATTGCTAAGAGTTTTTTGTAACACATACGTAGTACTGCGGTAGTTATGAATATTATTTTAGGACTAACATGAATACGGGAACCATACACCACTCACCTTTGAAGTAACCCAATTACATATTGTATTGCAATTATTTTATCATCACAGGGTCCAATGTGTGCGTTGCCATTGCCGTACAGAACAACAGAGAAAGAACCATCGTTCATGCAATTGACCGATCCTCAGAACGGTAAGCATTATAATACAATATACAGTTTGCACAATCATTGTGTTGAAATGTTTTCATCGGCGCTTTAGAATATCATTTGCCATCGGCGTGACCTTATATTTGTATGCGGGAGCAAGTGTTTGATTGGAACACAGTGGTTGTAGTGGCATCTCAAGTGAAACCAATGAAGAGACGCATTGTGAATGATGTTAAATAAACTTGAATGGTTTAAGTATATTTGTTCATAGAGTAAAGTGACTGTGGGAAAAATCCGAAAGATAAGATTGGATCGTTCCACATACACAACAGTTTCTTGGTGATTTTCCATCCGGGTATTCAAATGAAGCGTTTTTGTTTTATTCTTTTCATAATGCAGGTGAGCGATTATTTCCCCTCGATTTGGAAGTAGTATCATGTTCACGAAAGGACATCGCTCAGTTCGGCGAGAAGTGCAAAGAGTTGAACATCAAGTACGTTGGGCTGTGCTGCGGTAACCTGGCTTGTCAAACTCGTACGTTAGCAGAAACCCTTGGACGCACAGTTCCTGCAAGCCGTTATAGAGCAGATATGTCGTTGCACTGTGTCTTTGGAACAGATGACAAAGTAGATAAAAATAACAAGGAGCACGTGCACTCAATAATAGCAAATAAATAGAAAGATGATTTCTTTGTATTCATGTTAATACATTTTATCAAATTCTATTTGGAACACCAACTCACGCGTAAATTTGGCGTGTTCTTATCGTTTGTATTATTAGAATGTTATTTACTACATAGTTCAAAATATGCATAAGTTAAAAATAAAACTCTGTCATTTCTTTGAATAAAGTACGCAAACATATAATACTCGGTCTATACTTGTCGTAATTATAAATTGTGTGGAATACTAGACGTCGTCAAAATGATTTTTACCAGTTCTCTAGAGCTCTTATTTGACCAAAAAAGGGGAAGGAAAATATAACAAAAGAAAAAAAAAAGAAATACTTTAAATCATGCTAATTATGGAAACGAGCGAGGGACAAACTTACTTTGCTGAAAACATAAATAATTTGTTCTTGTCAGATGCATCGACTGCAGTTTATGAAATATTGTGACCCTTGGAAATTCATCGGTTGGTTGCATTGATGTCTAAATATGTATGCAAACATCACCGCGTGTTGTCCTGATTGGATAGTTGAACTACTCATATTCATGTCAAATGAATATAAAATGGGTAGTTGTATAAGTCATTCAGATAATTTGCATATGTGAAATACGCATATAACTTGTGTATGTTAATTTGCATATGTGAAATACGTATGTAACTTGTGTATGTTGATTTGCATATGTGAAATACGTATGTAACTTGTGTATGTTAATTTGCATATGTGAAACCAATTGTTACTTGTGTATGTTAGTGTTGATCAATATAATTTTATGACAATTCTCGGAAATTGTTGATACTTTGTAAATAGATTGATTTATTGTTGTACAAGGTTATAATTGGGAAAAAAATATGAAACAGTTTTTGGGATAGACGTGTTATTATTTTAGCTGACAACGGAGTTAACATACGGTATTGAGAAACAGCTAAGCACGACCTGTTCAAACGTGTAAATTTCTCCCATTTTTAGCGTCAACTTTTTACTTTTTCTACTTCTTCTTGAAAACTACAAGCCTTATTCTTTTAATATATATACCTTGGGCAGATCTCTCATAGATTTGTTCATTTCGTGAAGATATACTACGAGTGTTTACTGTATTCAGTGCATGGCCTCCCCTTTATCTGACGTTTGATGGCTTAGTTTCGTATTGGAAGAAGTCGGAAAGCCGAAAACAGTGGACTGCGACAGAAAGAGGGTGTGGCTACGATTCGTTTTTTTTTTTTAATTTTATTAAAATATGATTTATAATTTAATTTTAATTTTGTTTACAAATGTCCATGTCAGAGCAGAAAACTAAAACTAAAACTAAAAATGTATAGGCTGTCATTTTACAGGCACTTTACTGCACAAGCGTCACTCTGTATTACATGTAATTTAACGCCCATGTAACAGTTTGACTCGGCTTTAATATTTGCTTTTTGACCCGGGTTGACAAAAGGTTCAAGGCCATCTCGCCCAGACAGGTGACAGGTGACATTTATTAATGACCTAATTAACGATGTCAGTGTCAGCGATCATTACTCCCATTTCTGTCATTCATCTGTTCCAGTTCGAGTCCTATGATTTAGTATCTATCACGATTGGTTATATGAACCCAAATTAAAAGATTAAGCAGTTAAGTACACACTAGTAGCAAGGGATCTGTCGAATACGAATACTTATCACACTGGTCACCCAGAGTGAATGATAATATCAAAGCGAGGATAAAGGCAAATTGTTTACTCCATTTGCAAATTGTTTTTATCTATCTATTAATAACATAGACTGCTTTTCTCACTGCATATTATCGTGCTACTATATAAAATCTTCACGCTTGGGCTCAATTAAAACTTAAACTTTCAGTTGCGGCGGCCTCGAAAAAGATGTTGGGGCGTCGTCCCTCCAAAATCAAACTGAAACCCTTTGGGTCAGCAAAATTTCCCCCTCAAAATGCAGGAAATGGAGTTTCAGAGAGTCTAGATTTCAAACTTTTTAAGGGGGAACATGTCCCCGGACCTCGTAGTAAGGTCGCGCCTTCGGCGCAAGGATGATGAGCAGATCTCGCCCCTCCATGCAAAATTTCCTCTCGCCGCCTCTGACTTTGATTTACAGACTCACTGTTACGGATTCACAATTCGGATATAGATCTTGTGAGTGATGTCGTATTTCATTTTGTCTACTTTATGTTTTTTGGATATCCTTATTTTCTCAACAATCTTTGGAAATGAATCAATCTTTAGGTCTAGAATAGTGTCAGAGTTGTCCAGGCTTAGTGATATGCGCGTGTTGTTTAACAGTTGCTATATTGTTCGACCAAAGAAAACAACGCCCTCTAAAACGCTTGTTGTACCTGTACAGATCGGATGACTTGAGAGTTCAGGGTCACATCGCCCTTGTCGATGACAAGTGACGTGTATTAATGATCGCTGTCACGCATGCGCATTATGGACTGTGAACATAAGTATGCTTTTTCAGACGTTTTAAAAACCGTTTGGTCCATCATTGCAAAGATACGCAGTGATACGCCCCCTAGATAACTCCGCATGTTACTGCACTATTATGTTTGTTTAGTAGATATAAACACGACGAAAATAAAACGTCGAACTGGCACGATTTCAAATCTTACACGATGGCAAGTAAAAGAAAAGGTAACCTTATTTTTTTGTAATAATGTTTCTCAATCAACTATCTGGAATGACTAGTCATCTTGTGCCATATAGCGTTTGTAAGCTAGCCGCAGAAAAAAAACATAAGAAACAGTCTTTGTACAAAGTATATCAACTAAGTTGCGCTGGCAACTACCTCGAGATATGAAATACGGTATAAACATTTGTTCAATACTGAAATCTATAGAGATAACGTTGCCTCACATGGCTCTTATTAAACACTCTAAACTATATGTATAACTTGCAGGACTCCTGGAAAGGCTGGGAGACAATGAATTTGTTATAGCTGCAGAAGGCTATGCCTTTTATTTTGAACGAGCTGGTTATCACAAGTCTGGCCTCGGTGTTCCAGAGGTCGTTCTTGATCATCCCGAAGTCGTCGAGCATGCGTACAGGGAGTTTGTCCACGCCGGAAGTGATGTCATTGTATCGTATACGGTGTGTTCACCTAAGTTTCAGCAGCATTTATTTCGAAATAATTTCACTGTATTGACTGTCGACAAATATAACTTGGAAAATTATGTCCGGTAATTCAAAGCCACATATTAAAGCAAATATTAAATTTACTTTTTTATTCAAATGTTTATGTAAATATCATATGCAATGTACAGCGCCACATTCACATCACGTAAATACCATGAATTAAAGTCGTTCACGGACAAATCGAACAAAAACTAATATTATCGCGTTCTTTTTTTGTTTTCATAGTGTTACATAATTGCTGACCAACTAATGTAAATTGTTGTTTTTTAGACAATATTCGAAAACGCGCTGTTTGAGTTGAATTTCAATACTTTCTATATTTCAAATATATGTCCGTGGTGATTCAACACGAATGACATTAATATAAATCCTAATCCTTACACATACCTAGATGAAACATATTTAATTAAAAACAAATTATCTGGTTTTTACTACTAAGCCAAATAGTCTATCGTGTTGTTGAACTCCTCAACCTGTACGCATTTACTAATTAAAACATGGTTTTCGTTCATTGCTCTTTCTCACAAGTAGTATTATGGTCACCGCGAGAAGTTACGTCTCGCTGGCAGAGAAGGTGACATAGAGAAATTGAATAAAACTGCACTGAACTTAGCAAGAAAGGTTGCTGATGAGACAAACACACTAGTAGCAGGGGATTTGTCTAATACGAACATTTATCATCCTGATCACCCAGAAAGAAATGATAATATAAAGGCCATGATGAAGGTAATGTTTAGTTTTCGTCAATTTGGTTTTGCCGTTGTTATTTTCAATTTTAAGTCTCAAAATATAATTATGTTCTAGATTTGATTTCAGTAAAAAATGACATGTTCCTTTAACGTGAGCATTTGAGTTTGTTTTGCCACTGCATCCCCCGCTTTCAAAATTGCGAATCATCTACGTAATATATATGTTCACTCACTCCCCCCCCCCCCACAGGAGCAGACAGAATGGGCCGTTGAGTGTGGTGCTGATATGATAGTCGCTGAAACATTCACTTATTTCGGCGAGGCAATGTTGGCTCTTGAGGTTATTAAGTCATACGGTAAAGGTATGGGAACATGGTAATACATCCTTCTTGTTCGTTACTCACTCACTACTCATAATTTTTGTTTGAATTATCTGAAAATGATTTGTATTGATTCCAACACAGGTTTGCCATCGGTGATCACTTTGGCACCGTTCATAGTTCCAACAATGGATGGGCATGCAATCACCGCAGACAAACTGCTAGTGAGTGAGGCGTGTAAGAAACTACAAGAAGCAGGGGCCGATGTCGTTGGACTTAATTGTGGGCGTGGTCCGAAAACAATGCTACCACTGCTAAAAGAAATTAAAGAAGTGTGCCCGGTGAGCTATGAACTTGACGTACCCGAGCATATATGCAGGTTGTGCTACGATTTTCAATATCACGTTCAAAGCAAATGAATCACGCATTCCTGACCAATTTGTTAGCCGTATTATCATTTATCATTATATATCTGTCACAATAACGCCATAAGTTACAGCGTGCCGTAGTTTTGCGGTATTTTACGGGGTATTTTCATCCTACCATATTAGGAAATGCGAATTCCAAATATGGAATGATTACGCGCATAAGCGTCCTCTAATAATAATAATAAAAAAACGGCTGCCACCAGGGTTTGACCGGACTCCACACAAAAACATTCGCTGGTTCTATTTTAAACTGTTTGGATTTCGGCATTCCTATGATGTATCTATGGGAAGGAAAAGATGTATAATAATAAGGTTATTACGAGGATACCTCAAAATATGCATTCAGACAGTACGCCACCGCTGCTCGTCGGCCGATACTCCCACTTTACTGTCTTCGTGCATACGTTAAGGTATCCTCGTAATAAACTCAATTTCGGTATGCAGAGCCCTTTCACATTGTACTCATATATGTCCACTGTACACACTTACTTACATTCCAAAAACACGTCAGTGTAGTTGTGGTACTTTCGAAGCTGGTCGTGTTACGTTGCAGTTAACATGGCGAATTCTACGATTTCAGGGACCTCTTGCAGCACTGCCCGTACCTTTCAGGACTACCAGTAAAGAACCTACATTCTTCATGTTGACGGATCCTTTGACAGGTATTAATGTGATTACTTCTAAGTTACACTGTTTCTGTGTTGCTATAGTATAATTCACATGCTTCAAGTTTTGACTTTTATCATACAGTAGTAAATACTTTGGTTTGCGTATACCCGTGCTTTGGTTTATGAATGGTGGTAAGTCGTCAGTTGGGAGAGAGGACCATGTGTGGGATTTACGGTGTGATTTTGGAAGGTCTTGAGTGATAGAATTATTTAAAAAGAATTAGAACAAAAATTCATTCCTAGCTTCGTGCAATGAACTCTAGACAAGCGTTATTCAGCACCTTTTATAATGAAATAAATATGTTTGATTCGATTTATATTGATAGTTCTTTTTTTGACTTGTGGTTTTGTATCAAATAATCCTACAACAATTATAACACTACTGTGTTTTCAAAAAACAATATTCCCATTGCTCATTCACGGATATTAAATTAACATATACTACTACCTCGCCAACCAAAACAATCAAACATGATTGAATTAATAATACTAACCCCTTTTTCAAAACAGCCGTCACAATATTTGTAAATCTGTTTTAAATTTCAGGCAAGAAAGTGTTTCCTGGAGATGTGGACATCCACAGCTGTACACGAGAAGACATCAACGAGTTTGGCGAAGAATGTAAACGGCTAGGGATTCAGTATATAGGTTTATGTTGTGGGAATCGTGCATATTATACACGTGCTCTGGCCGAGTCGTTAGCACGCACACCTCCGGCTAGCCAGTACTCACTGGATATGTCTAAGCATTATGTCTACGGTACTGATGCTAAAGTGAAGAGAGATGTTGCTGACGATAGTCTAAAATTATACCACACACTCGGTGAAATTGACCACATTTAATTCTATTTTAGCTTCGTCTTTAGTGACAAATGAAGGTGGATACATTTGTACCTGAATGCTCCTTACTATGCTACTGTATACTGTTTCTATAACCGTTATTGTATGCATGTCTTAGACAAATAAATATAACTCTTGGGCGGTCGCCTCAAATCAAAATTGGTCCCTCAAAATACAGGAAATAGCGTTTCCGAGGGACTAGATGTCAGATCTCGCCCCTCATGCAAAATTTCGTGCCGCCGCCTCTGGTAGACTGTCTCCCCAGACCTAATTTGTTAGTGTACT